GGGTCCTTCCCTAAGTTACCTGTAGCAGCAGAACACTTGCACAAAACCCTATGGCTATGTTGTATATACAGATGAGTCCATTCAAATCCCTTCTGGCTCAGGCTGAGATCTGAAGCGGTCAAAGGCTTTTTTATCTTCTTTCCAGAGGAAAAAAAAACATCTGGATTCAGCTAAAAAGAGGACCCACAAACCTTACAGGTTAATTCTCAGTGCAGCTTCGCTTTGCTCCACCGCATGACCCTAGGCAGCAGGATAGAGTAGGACTCTAGGGGACCAGCTAATGTTTTTGCTTCATTTTTAATCTGATCTACACTTAAGGTGACGCAAATTAAATTTTATGCGGGTTAACTAAGTACATGGATTACATCAAATTGTTTTCAGGCAGTTAAACGCTGATGTGGCAGCACACGTGGTGATAAAGGGGTGTCAACAAATCGGCCAAAAGACCGAGAATGAAAGTGGTCGGGATAATTTGAATTTTTCAGATTTTCCACGTGATCGTAATACTGAAACAGTTTGTGAATTTCCATCCTGTTTTCTGTACTCTATATTGAAAAAAATGAATTTGTCTCTTAGAAAATAACACAGACTATAGATAGATAGATAGATAGATAGTGAGCAACTTCTGTCTCTCAAAACCTAATTTCAGAGGCATGCCACAATTACATTTGATGTATTATGACTATCAGGGTGTCATGGAGGCTCACAGGGTACAATGATAAAAAAAAAAAAAAAGAAAAATCAGTGAAACCAGTTTTCACGTTATCTTGCGACTAAAGTAAAAGAGCATTTTTAAAGTTTATTTTATCAGTAATCTAGTTTTGATATTTTGGTTATTATTTAAAATCTTATATCTTGTGATATTTATAAAATGTATTAATGACATTTTCCACATTTTAAATCATTTATGCTTTCACGCAACATTTCATCAAAACTACTACTAAGCTTATAATATTGCAGTGTTAATATTTGTACCTTCTATTTTTTTTTTCTTAAACACACCGAAACCACCCAGTCTGTTTCATGTAATGCTACGGCAGCAACATCCCTCCAATGAACAGTAAGCAAGGAGGAAAGAGCAATGTGCTACCTGTTGAGTTTTTCCATGATATTACATATTCTTTATTCAAATACCGTGTAGCACCTCGGGTAAAGTAAGAAATCATTTAAAAAGTTATTGTAATTAATTTGTTACTTTGCTTTCTTAATTTAAGCAGTTTGGGTGTCTATAGGAAAAAAAATCGATATATATTTTAATCTGAGCGGCTCATTTTTTCCCTGAATTTGACGAACAACAGGACAAATGTACCTGAATTAATGGATTAAATCAATATATGACATTTACTAAAGTCAAGTATTATTATGTAAAGTTTGCATCTTCAAGCAGCCAAGTAATACTTTCAAACTTGTTTTCTTGAGTAATAGTTGTATTCAGAAGGCAGGATACACAGTAATATACCCTGAAACCACATATCCCGTTCAGTCAAGTTTGAATATTTAATTACATTTTAAAGCACTTTTGAATATCACTTCTAATTCTGTTTACAGTCTCCTTACCCCATTTTGGGGTGACTTTGTTATGAACAGTGCTATAATTAAATACAATGAATTGAGCTGACTTGCCTAAAACAATTCTGAAAAAGTGCCCTTAGTAGTACGATGAAGGTGAGGGTTTGAATGTTTACAGGAAGGGGGCGGGGTTATCAATTATCCACACAATGCTTCTACGAATATATTCAAGTATTACCCTGCAGGCTATTCATACCAAGGTCTTCATTGTTTAAAATCAGTGTCACTTCAGTATATTTAAAGAGTCTGAACATAAAATAGATTTATAACCTTTTTTTAATCTCTTAGATTTATTTATGTTCTTTATCTCCCAGCTTTATTGATTCTTACAATGGATGTTTGACTCAGCAGAAGGATATCAATAATTCTTATTGTGTGCAGGGCAACTGGAAAGTTCAGCAAGGATATTAATCAACAAATTGTCGGGTTCTTGTTAGGACACATTGTCTTTATAACTATCCATTATGTAATCAATTGTGCAATCCATTTGGCAAAATAACAACTGACTCATGCAAATATGGGGCACACAAATAAATCAAATTAGCTTTGTGATGTGTTGTTGTTGGTTAAAAGGTTGAGGAGATCACTTCAGATAAGACTGAGATGTCAATATTCCTATGTCTTGTTTTCAGTGCTAATGCAATCAGCAAACTGCCAGAGCATTCTGTAAGATTTTAGCAGCTGAGCATATGTTTATAGAGCTTTCAGAATTACAGGTGCAAAGTCACTGAGTCTGAGCTTGAAGCTTCAGTTTTTGACAAGTTTCCTGAAGGGTGAATATGCAATGGTAACATGTATAAGTTTTCACCCTGCATTGCTATCCATCCATCCATCCACCTTCTGTACCCGGTTTGTTCTATCCATGGTTGCAGAGGTCTGTATCCCAGAGACTATGGGTACAAGACAGGGGATAAACTAGAGTGGGGGAACAACCCATTGCATTGCACACTCTCACACACATTCATACCTATGGACAATCTGGTAATTCCAGTTCACCATAGCATTTTTTTGGTCTGCGGGGGAGGGGAATTTGCCACACCCCCCCCCCCCCAACTGCATTGTAAAAAAATAAAACAGAGGGATGGGAAGTTTATAGAAGAACACGACCTATTACTTTATAATACTCTTGTTGGGGCTGCTTCTATCAGTACTTTTCTGTACAAAAGAAATATGTATGAGGAGTATTGTAACCTCATAGGTAGTGTAGTGCGTTTATAGGTATCAGCAAAACATTTTGTCTCTGTTTTAAACAATAATATAGTTATTGTGATTTTTCAAATACAGTTCTCAGATAATTTTGCCGAGTAAGTGTTAATAAAAGCAAAACAGAAAATAAGTAATGTCATATAATTTCTATGATTAGTATATGGCTAAAGGTGATGAAAATCAATCAATCAATCAATCAATCAATCAATCAATTAATCAATCAAGCAGTCAATCAAGCAATCAATCAATATGCATTAAAAATAAGCCATAAGCAGACTGACCTTAAAAAATATTAAGAAATGAGTGATTTTACTTATTTTCATCAAATGTAGCAATAGTGTATGAATGATTTATTTTTTATTTTTCTTTTTGCCAAACACCCACAGATGAACATCTTGGCAATGTGATAAATCAATCGAAAAGAAGTATTGTAAAAAAAAAAAAAAGATGCCTTAAAGCCAATCATCTATAATCTCATAAATAATAGAGACATTAACGTCATATGAACTTGATTTCCTGAGCGGGTGGTCCAATAAAAGGCTCTTTTTTTAAGATGAGCTGAGAAATTCTTTGTTGTTTGGAGGCCACATATCCTCAACGTTCCCTTGAGCAGTTACTCAAAAGCCGTCGACTGCAGGTCGCTGCTATGCCATCTTTCAAACATCAGCACAGAGGCAGCCTCACAGTCCGCATTTTTATCCCCCACCCACCCTCTATCTCTCTCCCTCACTCTTTTCAAATTGAGACTACAAGATAAGTGGTTGCCAAAGCCACAGTTGCCTGCTGCTCATTGATAAAACCATATCTAATCCGTCTCGGACTTCCAATGGCTGAGATGCACTCGTTTCAGACTGTCAGCAGAGAGCGACTCTATCACTCAAGTTCAACTCCACACTACAGTGTCAGGTTTTATCAACTAAATATTTTGGAAAGGGAATGGCACTGTATGCCACGTTCTAGTAGGGCATGGATTCTCAGGGTCTCTTCAGGTGTAGGATCTAAGGTGGATATCTCACCTAAATAAATGCATCTCTGGATTATGACACATCTCCCAACTGTGACATGCATGATGTACTAAGTACATAACACAACTATTTACCATTTATGGAAACAATATTTTAATGTAAGCCGTATTAGGCACACTTGTGTGTGTGTGTGTGTGTGTGTGTGTGTGTGTGTGTGTATTAATGTTTCTGTTACTGGGGAAACTTGCCAGTTTGAGTTCTCTTTCTCATCATAGTTCATTCAGTTTTTTCTGTCCTTGAAGCTCTTCCCTAGCTTTATGCTTTGTACTTCTATGAGATGGTAGCAAATGTGACAATATTGTTTGTGATGTTTTTCTGAATCAACAGAATCAGTGGGTTTTACACAAAGGAACAGCCAAGTATGTATTTGTTTTGAAAGTCCATTAAGACAAGTCTGTCTCTATCTATCTATCTATCTATCTATCTATCTATCTATCTATCTATCTATCTATCTATCTATCTATCTATCTATGTATTTCTCACGTTTGTTCTCACGTTTCTTTTGCATGATTGTGTAAATGTTAAAAAGTTAAATCAGTTCTGTATTATGTAGCATGTACCTGTATTACATATGTATTCAATTAGTTATTGCGAAAGACATGAGAGTATGAAGTTTAAAGACCCTAAGTAAAGTAGTACATTTTTCTCGGGTTCTGCCAGTAACAAACCTCATTTCCTCATGTTGACACTATGTTATGCCATATTACCCCCATCATTACAGTACATGTAGCAGGACCATGTGACCTGACGTATGTGGATCCTGACTTTTTATTATTTACGGCTTTTTTTTTTTATTATTTTAGGAATGAGCACAGACTCAAAGCATCTCCTCTCTACTTGTTGCATTCTAAAGGGCAGTGGCACAGAGATGATCAATGTTTTGTGCTGCTAGTGTAATGTATCTAAAATGTCAACATTGTAATCTGTCATCTTCTGGTCCATTTGTTTCTGGTCAGTGAGGTCCTTCTCTCACTGTGAGGACTCTTAGGTTCTGCACGGTTATTTTCAGTGATGTTGTGGATGTATTAGTCCTGGGCAACATCCTACTTCATAAGATTATACAAAAATACTCAAGTCTGAGTTATAAATATTAAATCTTTTGTAATTAATTGCCTTGATTGTTTGGACAGCATGGGCTCTTTGCATCTCTTGACCCGTTTAGCCGAGACATGTTTTCATGTGATCTTATGCAGCACTTACTGGATTCGGGGTCAGAATTACCATCTCCTTCTGTACGGCTGTTGGGGGAGGTCTGCTCATAGAACTCCTCCTGAGGGAAGCCCAGTGGGAGAGGTTGGGTTGTGCTGGTGCAGCTGGTCAGCTCCTGGTCCCCTAAGCCGCTGTCGCTACAGCTCTCCTGGGAGCCATCTGGGAGGTGAAAGGTCACGCGCCGCTGTGTCTGAAATGGAAACCAACATGTTGCAGGGACCTTCAACTACAAAGCCAACACATAATACTTTGGCCTTATATAGGTTATAGACATAAATTATGCTATTTATTAAATTGCTTTATTTACTACCTAATAAACCATGTACCTCCATTTATTATTCCTCGAAATGTCTCCTTAGTAGCAATGAATCCATATTAATGGATGGTCATTATATTCAGCCAGTCCATATAAACATACACATAATCATCCTCTATTGGCTATTTAGAGACACCAATTAGCCAAATTGTATGTCTTTAGGTGGCAGGAGGAGACCAAAGTACACTGTTAAACTGGTAAAATTAGCACCTTGTTTTACACTTGGAGTGCTCTTAGAGAACAGGTATAGTATCTGCATATCATTAATGTGAAATAATGAAGAGGACAGAGACTTCTGTCAGTTTCTTTAACAACAGTATATGCAAATGTAGAATAAAAAAGTGCACCATTAACACATGTTCCTTTGAAAAGCTCAAAGGGATGGAAGTAGCTTTGTAAGAACACTTTCTTTGTGCTGCTGAGGTTTGCAGATAAGACAGCGGAAAGGAAGGGTAAAAAAAATGAGTTATCTTTGCACAAACAAATCCACATTCTGCCAACTAGAAAATCTGGGATCTGTAACAGTACATCAGTTCAGTATCTCTTTGTATAATGAATTAAATCGCCCATAATTAATATCCAAAACATAGCTTTTAATTTCCAATGCGATACAAGTGATATACGTTTAGAGAGCCAGAGGGATGCAAAGGATTGAATGGTAAGCAAAGATACCAGAGCTGACTGAGCACACATATGCAATGAAGATGCTGTAAAATGTGCGGCTGCTTCAGATAAATAGCAATGGCTCATTTTTAGTCAGGAAGAAAATCCCTTTACAATATGGTTGAGTCAAAGAGATTCTCATCACATTTTTAACCCAAAAATAATACTAAATGAATAAATAAATAAGATAAAGAAACAAACAAATACCTAAACAAATAAATAAAATAAATGTATTAAATCTTTATTAAAACTAAGCTGAAGTTAAAGTAAAAGTAATACTTATATCAATCGGTAGTTATACTCAACTGGTCGACCAATCACAATCATTTAAAGTAGAGGAAGAGTTACAGTTTATTTTGAGATAAAAATACAATGGTGGTGCACTAGTGCTGATACAATGTACAACTGATTATTTATGAGATATTTGCCACCGAACAGATAAATAAGAATGTTGTTAAATGACTAGGGAGCTCACTTACAGAGAGAGCCTTGGTGAGATTGGCTGGTGTATTTGACAGAAAAATATAGTGGCTGAGTGGGAAGTTTTTACTGTAAGTCAGTACTTGTGAAAGAGGTAAATCATTTAAAATGTATGTTTTGCAGTGCACTGAAGACTCCCTTCTGGAAAAAGGTATAGGTCTCCTTATGAAAACAGACATTGCTGCCATTTGACCGGCTGTCTCCCGGAACAGTCCTCCAGAACATGCAACCACAGAACAATTAGAATAAGCAACCCCCCCATAAAACCCATTCAAAAACGCTGAATTTCAAAATGCATAAACAACAGTACTGTTCCTGTCACAAGTTAAAAGCAAAGTATACTGTCAAGCATTATCAGTTATTTAAAGACTATGCCTCGTAATCCGGGAGAACAGACAAATGCTGGGGTGTGAGATATCAAGGCCAAACAAAGCCTGCCCTACGAGATAAAACCAGTATGAAATGTATGCATGTAGTGATAAGAAAACATAGCCAGTCCCAGTTCTCTGTCAATCCAGCTCTGTCCAGCTCCTCTGGTAGGTAAAATGGCTGCATGCCAATGCATTGTATCCTCTGGTGAGATTAGAGGTCCCCAATATCAACACAAGAAAGAGGCTGGAGCAGAAGATGTCTCAGTCAAAGATTATCAGATGATTATTGCAAACATATACTGTGCAAATCATTATGTACATAGAGACATAGCGGTTTACCAGCATTTGAATGGTAAATACCAATCTTAACTGCAATGATGAGTGAAAATTAAAGTCATTGTCTGCTAGACACAATTTTAGTAATTTCACATCTTAACCCAATAGAAAGTTGGTACATCATAAATAATTTGACGCAACTGACTTATCATCAACTTAGCAATCCATACCGGTTAACCTGTAAGTGCCCAGTCAATCAATCAACTAACTAACCAAGTAAGGCTGCAGAATATTGGAAAATGTTCAAATATCACAATGTGATTTTGTTGCAATAAGTATTGCGATATCTATAAAGAAATTAGGGAGTCAAAAATTTACCCAAAATAAACTACAGGCAAATAGAGAACTTATATATCAAGAGTCTGTCACATAAATTGGTAGTTTATCTGCAACTTGTGCCAACAAACAGAAAGCTATGCAGACAAATCATTTACTTTAGCTCTATATTGTCTGTTTGGAATTCAAAATATTTCCAAACAGCGGAAGGCGAATGTCTTTTGGAGACCAGTTATTGATCTTGATTGATAACAAAGAGTATTACATATTATACGAATGCTTGCAGAAGCTTATTAAGCATAAAAAATCTAAATACATAATTATGAATATTTTGTTCCAGATTATAAATCCCTAAATATAGTCAGGTTTACAGTAAAGCCTATGATTTACTGCAAGTAGTGAGGCATTTTCAAATAAAAGGGCAAGCACAGCTCTTTTAAACTACATGTAGAAATTCTGCTTCTACCATGCAGGCAAAACAACACCCTTCACTTTGTGAAAGTTTTTACTACTGAACAATTCTCTCCTATTGAGAATCAGTGGACATAACTGCTGGACATAAGCAACTTTTTGGCGGAGGAACGGGCGAATCCTCTGCTAACAAAGACCTAATCAAAAATGCTAGGTACTTTCTCCAAGATCAGAATTTGATGTTATTGAATGTGATTCAGTTTTCCTTCAATATTTGCTGAAAACAGCAAAACCTGTTCAGTACAGCTCCTCTGGTGGAAAGTAAAGTAAGATATCAATATGGGCTCAGACATGCAATGTGGTAATTGTGTCAAAATATGAATTACATATTATGAATGCGCAGTACAACAAAAAAATGCAAATTAGTAATATAATTGACTTTTTTATTTTTTAAACAAAGAAAAAACGATTTAAATTACAGCATCACAGAGAGGGCATTTTGAATTTTTTGGCCCTGTCGCACAAGTGCCTGGACCCAATTATATATAAATTCTAATAGATGTATTTACTACTATCATGTAATAACATAACCATTGTAACATGACATTGTTTTTTTTTCTTTCTTTTTTTTTGTCAAATCTCCCCATGTCAAACCAGACACAGATTTTTCATAAGCAATTTGTGTGATTAGGCTGGCATGAAAAGCCTTTTATTTTTAGCAAATGTCATGTGGAAATTCATTGTGACTCATTGTGGCTCGGTAACACTGGGTGCCTGCGGCAAGTTACAATGTTTCTGGCCTTTCTGGGTTTACACAGGTGGTTTTTTTACCATCTATGTTGAGAGAGGGCTGAAGACACTCTATCTAAGAAGTATAAATATGCATCCATGCATCCATCTTCCATTCACTTATTCTGGACTGGAAAATATTCATAATAAGATTAAATAACAAGATCAATGTCTCTATATTTGGTATAGTTGACAGACACATCACTGTTAATAATAAGGCCATTGCATTGAAGTGTACAATACAAACTAAAATGTCATATGCTTCACAAATAGTCACTATAAAGAGCTGAACATTTTTGTTTTATTTAGTATTTGCAACTAAAATCTCAAAATCTTTTACAGAAAGTGGTGTCCATTCATCCTTAATGTAGATAAATTATATTAAAGAATAGTTCTGTGCATAATTTTCATTAAATTTGGGAAAAAAAAGATTCAAATGACAATTTTCCATCCATCCATATATTGCCCGCCACTTGTTCAAGTCTGGGTCACAGGGGCAGCAGTCCAAACAGAGATGCCCAGACCTTTTTCTGCCCAGCTACCTCCGTCAGCTCCTCCAGGGCAATACCAAGGTGTTCCCAGGCCAGCCAAGAGATATAATCTCTCCAGCATTTCCTGGGTCTGCCTCAGGGCCTCCTCCTGGTTGGACATGCCCGAAACACCACACCTCAGGGGATGGCCAGAAGGCATCCAAAACAGATGCCAGAATCATCTCAGCTAGCTCCTTTTGATGCCCTTCCGTAATGTCCATGCTCCTCACCCTTTCTCCAGGAGGAAGCTCATTTCTACCACTTGCACCTGCAATCTCATTCTTTTGGTCACTAACCAGAGCCTGTGTCCATGGATGAGGGAAGGAATGTTGATCAACTGGTAAATCAAGAGCTTCACCTTTTGGCTCAGCTCCCTGTTTATCAGAAAAGACTGAAAGAATAAGCTCATTTACATACACAGCTAAGTCAAACTGTGGTTATAGCTCGCCTACTCCATCTAATCGGACTACTGTCCTTGTCCAAGTATACATGCAGAGGAAGGGAATCGATTTATTGACAAAAATATGTTTGACTCCGCTGCAATAGGTGGTGATATGGCTCCTTTTGGCTTGTCAGTAGTGGGCTTTTCCAGTTGACCTATTACATCACAGGCATAAAAAATAATAAAATGAATAATAATGGATGTGCGGACAAATGATGCAAGCTTTAATTGCAATCTGGTCAGAAGAACAGATACTGTACAACAAGATCAGGATAGCATAACAAGAAATAAAGTATTATGTATAATATAGTATGACAGCACAGTATTGGAAAGTTTTCAAATATTGCAATGTGATTTTTTTGTAATAAATATTGGGCTATTTATGAAACAAAAAAAGGGGTTCAACATAAATTTCTCACAAACCCCTATAGGAGTGATTTAAACAGAAAGGATGAAAATGATTGTGATTGTCCCAGAGAACGCATGCAGCGTTCATGCAAAAGCAGCAGACATAAACTTTAAACTGATTTTTAAACATACTAGATAATCTTGAAATGGAATAATCATTAAAATTGC